AATTATACTAATGGGGAAAAACTCACTCCAACGGAATGGACCAAACATTTGGGATCACCAGTGGTTCCCGAACTAAACAGAATACATAGCGGATGACTAAACGGGACATCGATGTAATCAATTGTTTTTTGGGGTTCGGCTTCGGCTAAAAACTGGTCTAAAGTACAACATTCCGGTGCTTTCAATACATCGTTTAAGTGGTTATTGTTATTATCGGATAATTGTATGGGAGATATAACGACACGTTTTAGGGAAGGAAGTGAATTCATGAGTTGTGTCAACTTTTCCAAATGGTTGTGACGTTTGCCGTTATATACAACACAGTCGACCGAAAAGAGTAATTTAGGTTTTATTTGTCGTAATCTTTCCAAAACTCCCTAAAAATGCATATAATTAGCGATATTTATTGTGAAACTATAGCCCAAGTATTAATTACAGAAATGCCAAAGTCAGGTGAGGTAGAGCTCCAAATGGCACCAATAGCTGAAGTGGCCAGAAATGCCTCCACAGCTTCCCTGCCATTTGGTAAATAACCTATGGATAGAAAATTTTAAAATAGTACTCAATTTAAACTGTATTCTCAATGTTTGACAGAAATATTTTTAAATGTTTCTAAATTTAAAAAAAAAGTTTAAATATTTTTGTCAATTTCCTCAAAACAGAAATATTTTCAAGGAAAACATCATTTTATTGCATATATCTGCAAATTTTAAAGTTATTTGTTTTACAAAACATCAAGTTTTAAAGTGTTAATAAAAGCATACAAACACTAACCGACAACTCTATCGCCAGCTGTTATGCCACACTTTTTCAACGCAGACACTAATGATGTGATTCGGGCCTTCATTTGACCGAAAGTCACTTTTTGTATATCTGTGTTATACTCGTTGACTACATAGAGGGCTACTTTGTTTGGGTCACTGTTTTCGCGTCTCTCCAATATATTTCGAGTATAATTAAGTTTAGAGCCGACAAACCATTCGGGGATTTCATCGATTGTCTTAGTTTTGTCCACAACAGTCTCGTATTGACTCGAATGGATTATATTCGCAAAACTCCAGAACTGTTCCCAAAAGTCTGAATAGTTATCGACTGACCAGTTATAGAGATCCGAATATGTGGTCAATTTGATGCCAAACTTTTTATTAATCATTTCCCGAAACACATCCATTTTGGTCGTCCCAAACATACCCGGACTCCACATCAATGGCGACACATGATTACCGTTATTTGTATCCATTATTACCATTTAATCTGAAATTCAATTAATTGTAGACTAAACACATCAGTCAATACCGATAACACTATTTCAATGATATATCAATTATTAAACAACGATTATAAGAGAAAAATTTTAAAAAGTAGTTTTAAAACTTTTTGACAATAAAATTGTGTTATTTAAGCAAAGTTTTACAAGAATTTCGTATATTTCTTATTACTAACCAAAAGAATAATTTATGGAAATTAATTATTTTTATTTTACAAATAATTTGATAATAAAAGTGGTGGTTATTTGCTGCTTATGAACCATACAATTACATACCTTATAATATATTATATCAACATAACTGTATATTTCCTTATATTTAGCAAATATGCCTTTTATTCAAAAAAGACTTTCAAAATTAAAATTAAAAATAAGTTATTATTTTGCTATTTTGATAATTATTATTGATTTGTAATTAATTACCTGCTTTTTCCCAATACTTATATTACTTGGGAAATACGATATATTACAAGAAAAATATAATATTGATATTATTATTCAAATTATTTACTACTAATTATATTTTAAGTGCTAGAAAATCCTCGTTACGTAAGATTTACGTGCGAATTAATTTCTCGACATTTATTTAAAAGTAAAAATTATAAATTATTGTAAAAAACATTCAAAGTATTGTAATTCAATCGATAATAACGAGAGATAAAAAAGAAACTTTTAATATCAATGAATGGTTAATACATTCTGAGCTCGCATTTAATTTATGCTAAATTTTAATTTTGTTAAAATGCAGTATTTTTTAGACGAGTTTTGAAAAATAACACTTTAATATTCCGATCATACGACACATACCTGTACACTACTATACAGATCATCTAACATATTTAAATATCTGGCAACTAACTACAATCTATGAATACTGTCAAACAATACATAAAAATTAGTAATTATTATTAATTACTATGTATTACATATTAATATCTGTTTAATTAAGCCATCAATTAGTTTGAAATGTTAAATTCAATAAGACTTTATTGAATGTCTACAACAAAAAGTATCACTTAATCATTAAGTCTTAATGGCATCACAAATATGTTGCCAACAAATCATATAATAGCCATTATGTGAGACATTAGCGTTGGTGTTGTTGTGTCGTAAGGGGTAGTCCTCGACATAAAGTGAAGGTCAAGAATCGCTATAGAATTTAAGGAATGATTGAGTTATTGGTAAACGACATGTTTGTGGGTCAAAGGGGACACTCATGTTGTTATTCAAGTACGTGTGCATACAAATAGTGCATTCACTAAAATTTGGTAAAACATGTTTAACATAGAGCTAATTCTACACATAAACCTCTTGTATGTGAGGTCACTAATGTATGATAGGGTTAAAT